GGTATACCTTCGACTTGATGCTTTCCATTGCTCTGGGTATATTCCCAGCAGTGGGATGGCTGGGTCATATGGCAGATCTATCTGCAATTGTTTGAGGAACCTCCATACCATTTTCCATAGAGGCTGCACCATTTTGCAGTCCCACCAACAATGTATGAGAGTTCCTTTTTCTCCGCAACCTCACCAGCTTTTATCGTTCAGAGTCTTTTGGATTTTAGCCATCCTAACTGGGGTGAGATGGTATCTCAGTGTGCAAACTGCAGTTTTGAGTGGGGGGAGCAGAGTGTGTGGGATGGTCTGCTGGAAGGCAGTAGCCTGCGGCAGGCCTGCGGATGAATTCCCAGAGCCGACTCCCGTCCTAAAGACGTTGCAGCTCCATGCCACCTGTATCCTTAACAACATCTGCCCGCCTTTTACCTGAGGGAATCAGGACTCTTCTTTCCAATTATAACTAAGAGTTTTACACGTTCTATGTAGGTACGTTGAAAACGGAATTACCTGAAGATACTTGCCTGGGGACAACGGTAGGCTGGCTCCCTTAGCAAACATGCCTACCACCATAGCTTACTTGGAGGCAGCTTTGTACTTGAGATTAGGTTTTAGCAGGAAATGGTGTGACCGGATTCCTCCCTTTGTTCTTGTGATGTGAGGGGTAGGCCAAGACTGTGCTTGAGTCCTGAAGAAAGTAAGTCTTGGCATCTACAGAGAAGTGGTTTGGTCTGAGAAAGTCAAGTCCCTTTTAAGTTACTAAAATCCAGGTCTACAAATTTCTTTGAGGAAAGCTTTAAAACCACGAATTTTTACCTGGTTAAAGGAACAAAGAGGTGTGAGGTGTGGTGGCCATGTTGGTTCACCAACAAGATCTCATGAATTATTCTCAACTTTGATTTCAGGGCTCAGGAGTGCTAAACTGGAAGGAAAACCAAGACCAGCTCTTGTTAATATGAGACTTCATCTATTATGGCCACAGTCTCTTGGAAATGTCCCCTGGCAAGACTGCCATCAGCACTTGACTGAAAACACATGGAGGCAGACCATTCAGAGCAGGAATTCATTATTGGAAGAATAATAAGGGAAAGTTCTTTCTCTCTTCTGCAAGGAGAGCTGCTTTCTGGAAACATTGCAGGGCTGGGCTTAGAGGGGATTTGAATCATGTCTGGTAACAAGAAGAGGAATGGAACGGGAAGGGCACATTTCCAGAAGCCTTTTCATACAAAGCATGATGGTCCTGGGCAGCTAAAACTGTTGTTCCATCTTAAGTGTATTATTGAAATCAGGCCATGGCTCCCTTTAACCCATTATCCTTTCCCACGGTAATTAGTGTCTCATAGCTCTAAAGGAAAAGTACCCAGATTTAACTGGTCTTTCCTGGCTACTTCTCTTTTTCAGAAAGGTCACCTGTGGACTAAAATGGGCTGCAAAACTATTTGGTCTCCCTTCCTCAACACTATCCCATAAATCTTGGATATATGGCAGGTTATCCAAGCAAAAGGTACATGGAGTCTTCAAAAAATTCATGGAAAAATTGTATTATCTTTCAATTCCATTTTTTTTCATGAACTTTTTGAAGTACGCTCATGTATATAAAGAGTGAATAAGAAAGAAGGAAACTATTGCCAGCCTACTGGGTACAGGAGTATGTAACAGACATTACAAGTGTTCGCTAATATCCAGTTCTCCTTTCTTCCTGAATGTATTTGTATTTTTCTTGCCTCCTTCAAGTTAGGAGTGGCTGTGCGACTGCTTGGCCATGAGTGTGGAGTGATGTGTGTCATTTCTTGGGTGAAGAACTTAACTGCCAGTGCTCAGTCTCTCTTTCTCAACCTCTTTCTGTCCCCCCCATCCCCCCC